CCCCCCCCCCCCCCCCAAAGCCCTATATTAGGGTTTCGGGCTTGCTTGAGTTCGTGCACTGACTTGGGCGTCAAACTCTGCGAACCTCACAAGTCTGGTGATGCATTATGCGACCTCTGGAGACCCTACCGTAAGAACCCAAAACCCCACTTTTCTGTAGGCTCTTATTATAAACCTTAATATGGGATTTATAGGGACCCTACAAAAAAGTAGGTTTTGGGTTCTTAAGGTAGGGGAAGAATAATGAATATGTTTTTGACCTCAGATGTTGGGTCTAGCTTGCAAAACCTGAGGTTCAAGAAGGCTTGGAGAAGACAGCAAAGGAACCTTTTTGAAGGAACGCTGGCACCTCAAGATATAATCCTACACCCCTAAATGGGGGTTTCTGAAAATAGGGGACCCTAATAGAGTACCCTAAATAATACGATCCTTAATATAAGGACCCCAAACTAAGGTACCCTTAATTTTCGGAAACTCCTGTATGAGGTGCTGAGCGAAGCGCAGCTCGCCAGCTTCACGGATCGCCTGAAGAATCTGCAGACGCCGGTCATCGAGCTCCAAATGCCACCGAACCAGGCGCTGTTCGGGGTTTAGGGTTGTTTTAGTTGTTTCGTTGGTTTTGGGATGTTGTGCGTTGTTGTGGTGTTTGCGGCTTTTGGGGCTTAAGGGTTTAGAGTTTTGGGGGCTTAGATACTTTTGGGGATGTTTTGGGTTTGGAGGCTTAGTGGTACAGGGGTATTAAAGGTTGACTACCCAACTGCACTTTTAGGGGGATTCTGAGAGGGTCTTTTTACCTTTAGCCCTAAACCCTTAAAGGGATGTTTTAGGGTTCGTAGTTGTCTTTCCCACCGCTCTGATCGGCTTGCCCTGGCAGGCATAGTTTATCATCTTCCGGGTCTCTTGCTCGAGCAGTTTAGGGTTTTGGGTTTCGGGTTTAGGGTTTTCAAGTCTCCCAAATGATTCTTGGTGTTCTTCTGGTTGGCTCTTAGGACTGTAAGTTTTTGGGTTTCTGTGTGAACTAAAATAAGGAGGCGAAGAGTTTAAAACTTAGGAGGGGTTCAGAAGTCAGCCAAGTTCCCGGCAGTCACCCTTCATTGCGAACAGTGGTTCGACAATCTAGAGCTTGCACAAGTGTAGCCCCTAATGTAAACTCCTTGGACCTGAATTAGAACCCCCCGCAACACCCGCTAAACCCTGCAAGCCATAATTAGGCCCACAACACACAGTACCTTCGAGGTCAATGCCCTGCCGAAACTCTTGCAACTCCTCAACGCCTCGACAAAGTCAGTGCGATCGCTGGGACTTACAGGCCGCGCGGCCTCTACATAGCTAATATAGAAGCCTAAGTAATTACCGATACTATTTTGGTGGTTCCTTATTAAGAGTATAGTATAATATACCCCAAAGTCCTATTGTAATTATTAAGGCCCCTACATTAGAGTTTGAAGTTCGGGGTCTAAGGATTGCTTTTCAAGATGGGAGCAGTAGGAATACATGTCCTTCGAAGCCGGTTGGTTCGAACTTAATCTTTAGGGTTTAGGGTTTCTAGCGGACCGGCATTTCACACGATTGCGATATTGCTTTATGAACTCATCGGTGGGCTGGACATGTTGAGGGTTTAGGGTGGCATAGTTTCGCAGGTGGAAGGCCCGAGGTCATTTACAGTTGTGGCGTTGATCAGCATGTGACAGCTGCAAGAGGGGCGGAACTACAGCAATCAGAGCGGAACAAGAACTGCATTTCATGCTTTAAGAATCTTGAGAATATTCCAGACTGCTCTCTTGCATAAGAACCCGGTGCATGCCCAAAATCATTCGCTTCCCTTGCCGTATTGGTATGTCTTGCTGATAACACAGCTTCCCAGCTTCCGTGATTATGGGCTTCTGAGGACTCCACAGAGAGGCTACCCTAAACCCAAAATCGCGATTGACAATTACAGGTCCTCAGGGTTCCTGATTCTAACTTATGCCTATAATGAATAATCTAGCCTCCACAACCCTGTCACAACTATTGGGGCTTCCGTACCCTTAAACCCGTATAGCAACTCTGATAAGAGCTGTAAAGGAGCCCATTCCTATAGATTATATGGATGAGGCTCGTAATTTTGATGCCTGCGCTCTGAACCCAAACCCCCAGACCCTAAACCCTAAACCCTAAACTCTAAACCCTAAACCCTAAACCCTAAACCCTAAACCCCAAACCCCAAACCCCTAAACCTAAACCCCAAACCCCTAAACCCCAAAGCCCTAAACCCCAAACCCCAAACCCTAAACTCCAAAACATAAACCCCAAACCCTAAACCCTAAACCCCAAACCGCAAACCCTAAACCCCTAGCCCTAAACCCTAAACCCAAACCCTAAACCCTGAACCCTAAGCCGTGAGCATCCAGGCAACGCCCTCACAGAGGCAGGGGCCAAAGTCCTTTCCCAGGCCTGGCCAAGCCTGCACTTTACGGTTTAGGCATTAGGGTTTAGGGT